CCAATTTGGCACTATGGATGCTACTGCAGCTGCATTGCCTGACATAGATGATTACGGTTGCCCCAACCTGAATTGCACTCCTATGGAGTTTACACAATTTATACTCGGTCCGCAGACTCTGCCACTACATAAGGCGCTGCTGGTAAGTTAAGAGACAGTTTGGGCAGTTTAGAAGAAATTACCCATTAATATAGAGCATATTTTCTAGATCACTATAATATTTAGTGGTATATTTATAACCGGCGTCTTGGGCAATGTTTTGGTCTGCATGGTTATCATTAGGCATGCGGCTATGCATACGGCAACGAATTATTATCTATTCAGTTTGGCAGTCTCCGATTTACTTTACTTACTCTTAGGTGGGTTGGCCTCTCACATTTTAGTTGACTAATTAAAGTAACTATACAAATGTTTAGGATTGCCAACGGAAGTATTTCTCTACTGGCATCAATATCCGTTTCTATTCGGCTTACAGTTCTGTAAGCTGCGCGCATTTGTATCGGAAGCGTAAGTATTGGCCCTTAAAATGTAGTTAAATATCCAATTATAACAGTTGTATAACAGCTGCACCTATGTTTCGGTATTCACAATTGTTGCCTTTTCCATGGAACGATTTCTGGCCATATGCTATCCGCTGCATGTCTGTGCCATGTCCGGCTTTCAGCGAGCACTGCGAATCATCACAGTGCTTTGGATCGTTAGCTTCCTAACTGCAATACCATTCGGTGTTAAGACTGAAATTCAATACTTGAATTATCCAATCGGTATGACGCAAGTTCCTATATGCTTATGTATGTATATCTACAAACTTTTAATAAATTCGTCTTACTCTAATAGATGGATCTCGAATACTGGAATCTGCATTTTGCTCCATGGAATCAGAGTTTCCCGATAAATATCCTTTGTTTGAGGGTTCTTTTATAATATTTTTCATCATACCCATGATACTCATTTTTGTGCTGTATGGTCGCATGGGCGCTCAAATACGCTCCAGAGCCACGGACCAATTGGGTATGCTAGAAATGAAATAAACTGAAAATACTTTCAATTAAAATTTTCCCCTTAGGAGTTCAGCAGGGCTCACGAAATCGAGAGTCTCGCAGCTCGCAGAAGAAAAAGCGAGCCGTTATACGAATGTTGGGTAAGCTTAATATATATAATAGTTTAATTTAATATAATTAGCTATAATTCTTCTCTTTTAACAGCCGCCGTTGTTATCACATTCTTTGTCTGTTGGTTTCCCTTTCATCTGCAACGATTGTGGTTCTTATACGCCAAGAACTTTGCCTGCTTTCAGAATGTCAACGAGTGGCTCTTCTCGATCGCGGGCTTTGCCTACTACGTGTCATGGTAAGTTCATATACGCAATGGGTCTGATACTAGTTAAACTCCTGCCTCTAATTCGTATCAGCACCATCAATCCAATTGTATACAATGTGATGTCCAAGCGCTATCGAGTTGCATTCAAAGAAATTCTATGCGGCAAGAAAGCTGGAGCTTTTTATAACAGCGGCTTTGCTCGAGATCAATCGAGTTTTATGCGAGATGAAACGAGTTTTCGGCGAAATGGCAGCACTAACAATAATAATCTGAGCACCAGCAATGTGCGCTACAGTCGAGTACATTCTGTAAGTTTAGTTCAATGTCTCATATTATTTCATTTAGACATACATTTCTTGTAGAATCGCGTATCCGACTGCTCCCTGCTAAGCACTACAAAAATAGTCATAGTGCTTGGAAATAGAAGAGAAGCCAATCACAATATACCCGAAGAAACTGACATAAAAAAGGAGGAGCCATAAAGCTGGTGTTCATTCTATATATATTATATGATATTAAATTATCTATGCACGCTAACATCTAAAACATCTAAATAAATTTATTTAATTTTTACTAAATGAAACAAAGGGTAGGCACCAAAAATATTTTAAGCCAGAAAGTCACAGCTTAATTATCGCATCAATGCATATGTATATTGGAGAATAACAGTAGTATTTCTTGAATAGTTATCTATCTTTAACTGTGCTTGATTTGCATAACAATATCATTCAGAAGAAAAAAACAAAACCGAAATACCGTAGTGAAAGTTTTAACCATGCGTTTTATAATTGGGCTGCATGGGCATTAAAATCTTTATTTTTCAAGCTTTAGAAAATAATAAAAATAAAGAAAAAAAAAAACAACAAACAAAAAAAAATAAATTGCTTCTCAATTCGCTTGGAGAGAAAACTTTAACGTAATAATACACAATACCCAGTGAATCAACGGAGTTGATTAGAACAATTATCCAATTATATATGGAACAATATTGTATTGTAATGCTCTTGTTTACGCAGCGCGTGAGAGAAACCTTGAAACTGGTTTGTCATTAGACAGACGTAAGATGCCTGGCAGAGAGATGAGCTAAAACCAGAAATGAAGATGGGTAATTATACGATAAAGACCATTGAATACCTTATATTATTCATATGCATATTTAAAGGAATAATATTTCCTTAATTTAAATTTATATTTACCTAAGATTATTTGATTATGGTAAAAGAATATATATATATAAAATTTGACGTGAAATTAAATAAAATAAATATATTTAAATCAAAATACTAAAAGATTTGGCTCAATTCTATTATTAGGTTACCACAAGATAATTGTTAACTGAACGAAACTGAATAAGTTTCCTGCATTTCGCAGCCCTGGTTCAATGGAATTTGATTTAATATAATGCCCGCTTTAGCCACATTAAGTTTGAGCCTCAGAAGTTTTGCAGTCCATGGCTGCGCTGACACAAAGAAAGAAAAAGAGAAACGAATATATTAGAAGAGGCTGTTCACGCAGTGCTTTTGGAATGCATTGATGCTATTTCGGGTGCTGTCGCAGCTAAACTAACACTAAAACTAAACTTAACAATCCGGTTTCCTTGCATACGCGCGATGAAGCTTCGCTTTGTGTTCTGCTGAAAAATAGGAGAAGCGGCAGAAAAGCCAATGCAGCATTTGACCCAGAGACAACGGAGCGTGCTGAGCTCCTCACTTCGCGGATCGCGCTTCAGTTGCCAACAGATACCGCAATAGGAGAGATCAATCCAACAAACAACCAGTTCGAAACAAAAGAAGCTCAACAACAAAGCTCTGTGTGCGTCGTCGTCGTCGTTGTTGTTGTTGTTG